TTGAAATTCATGAGCTGTGACGTGGGGCTGCCTAGGGTCCCCTGGGGCAGCTGGAACAGAGAGGGACTTGTTGCCTGGGGGCAGTCTCACCTCCTCCCAGCTGTATTTCTTGGCCTACCCACTCCCTTGCCGGCACCCCAGCTCCCTGCTTCAGAGGGCGCCCCTGCCCACCTCCCTCGCCTTCCACCTCCAGCTCTCTCCCTGCTGCCTCTTCTGGTGACGAGGCTGTGGGAGTCTAGCCTGTGCTCTCAGCATGCCCAGCAAACTATCATTATTTATAAGCATAGTAGCCGCCATTGGTTCAATCATCAGCTTGTATAAGCCTCACAGCAACCCATTTTACTGATGTGGAAACTGAGGCTCAGAGAGGTATGGTCATTTGTCCACAGCCACACAGCTCCTATATGACAGCTTGGACATTCAATGCAGGATTCATCTGATATCAGAGCCCAAGAAGGAGGAGGCATAGAGGAATGACTGGCAGTGGGTGCATGCCCAGTTAAGCGCGTTACTTCCTGGCATCATTTGCATTCAGCAGGGCCTGGGAACCAGGATCCCGGAGTTCTGGCCCCAAGTCTCGAGTCCTAGAGTAGGGGTAGGGGTAGGGGTCACGTCAGCCCTTGGGTTCAGTTTCTCCAGACCCCTCTCAGGGTGACAGCACCAGTTCAGATAGGGAGTGTGGCATTTGGGGGTCCTGAGAGGTGTTTATTTTGTCCCCCTATGCTTCACGTTTGAAGGTGCCTCTGCAGATGGCCAGGCACAGCCTCCCTGGGAACCCACCATCTGCTCCAAATGAGTGGGGAGAACTGGCATGCCAGCAGCCGCCCCTCCCACGCCGGGCACAGCACACAGCCTCCGAGGCTGGTGGGCCTGACACTTTTCTCTGGGCACCTGTTCTGTCCTCCCTCAGCCTAACCAGGAGCTGAAGGCTGGATCTGGTCTGGATCCCCACTCGGGGGAAGGAGGACCACCCCAGGGGACCCTTAGACAGAGCGCAAAAGTGGGACAGTGTGTCCAGGTGAAAGGGAAGAGCTAGGGAGCTGCTGAGTCATGCACATTCCTTCCCGTGTTGCCTGGGCACCTACTACGTGCAGGGCCTGTGCCAGGCAGGAACCCGGAAGTGAGTGAGGAGCTCATTGTCCGGACCTGGGGACCTGCTGGTCCTCCCCACTGTGCGTCTAGGCGTGAGACTGGGAAGCAGACCTCCCGGGTCCTGGCACCAGGCACCAGGCCAGGGAAAGGCCAATGTAGGATCTGATGTAGGAGCCAGCCTGGCCCTGGCTCCTCAGCACGGGGCAGGTGGTCCTTAAAGTTGACAGGGAGTGTGGAAACCACCGGAGGATCTGTTTAAAATCCAGACTCTGCCTCCCGGTGAAGCCCTCTTGAGATTCTAGCCCAGCATGCCTAAGGAGCATGCATCTGGACAAACTACCCAAGGCATTCTGAGGCAGGCTGCATGAGGGCCTCACTTTGAGAACCTGGGCCATGACAGAGATGGGCCACCTCCCCATCTGGGCACCAGGAGATCTTGTCCCTGGGAGGGGTTGACCCCCAGACATGGCCCTGCCTCTAGTTTCTGCTTCCCAGAAGCTACTTGTCCTTTAAGCAGCCCTTGGGAGGCAGTGGGCAGCTGGCCCAGACCCTGACCACGTAGCATTCTCGCCAGCTGGGTCCTGGGCTCCTCGCACCCCCTGTGGGGCACCTTGGAGACCTCCACCCCTCAGGCTCACCAGGACTGAGTGGGCCCATCTGCTCAAGGAGAGGCCTCTCGGGGAAGAACTCCAGGGAAAGTCCGTGTCTCTGCGTGGGGGACTCTCTGTGGGGAGTCCCATCCTTTCCAGCCCCTCCCGTGGTTTCCATGGCAACTACTGTTACCATGGTGTTGCTGGTGAGGAGCTGGTGGAGAATAGGGTGGACCCCCAGCCCCCACACCCACCCCAGCTTCTATGAGAACAGCTGTTCTATCTCCACAGCCCTGGGGGACTCCCAAAACTGGAAGTCACGCCCCCAAAGGAGTCTTTGAGTAAAGGATGGAAGAGATTGAGACCGGAAGTCCTCCTACCCCCCAGCAAACCCCCTCCCTCTGTGCCGCCTGGCACACCTCTGTTCTAGCACATACCACACTGCATTGCATTATCTGTTTACTTGTCTGTCTCTCCCACCACACTGTGAGTTCCTCAGGGTGGGAACTGTCTGACTCATCATCTCCCATCCCCAGAGCCCGGCACAGGGCCCGGCACAGACTGAATTTAATTGAATTACATAAAAAGCCAAGTCTGGCTTCTTGGGTTTGAGGCAGCACCATTGAATGAGGAAGTTCCCAGGCTGAGGGGCCAACAGACACTCGGCTTTGAATCCCCGCTTGGCTGTGTGACCTCGGGTGAGTCACTTCACCTCTCTGAGCCTCGGCCGCTTCCTCTATAAAATGATAATCTCTATATCAGAGATTCGAGGACTTGGGGATTCAATCAGAATTTATTGAGTGCCCCTTGTGTGCTAAGCCCTGTCCTGGGCACTGGGATACAGTGGCAGACAGAAAGAGGCTGCCCTGCCTGCCTAAAGCTCACTGTCTGGCAAGAATGAAAAGCATTTGCCTGGTGTGTAGAAATGATGAATATACATAGGGCTTACCATCCTTCTCCTTCTCCAGTGTAGTTCCTGACTCCTCCCCAGCAGCCTCGGCTTCCCCAGACATGAGGCAGTGGAGAGGCTTCAAGAAGGGGCTTTGAACCTAGGAGCTCTGGGTCTAGTCTGTTGTACCTAATACCCTTTGCTCCTGACCCTGGGGTGCAAGAAGACTTGTGAGTCTGGATCAGGCTCTGAGCTGGGGGCAAGAGACCTGGGTTCCGCCTCTGACTCTGTACAGCCTGAATGTGTCTTTTTCCCTCCCTGGGCCTCTCCATGAATAAGGCGCTGGCTGGGTCTCAATGGTCCCTTGGGCTTCGGCCTGCTCCCTGCTTTCTTGGGCCCTGGGGATCCCATGACTGGCAATTCTGACATCCTGGTTCCTGGAGAGGCCTTCACTCTCATGCTTGCACCACCCTGGAGGGCGGTGCAGAGGGAGGTAGATGAAAAGAGCTGACTGGACAGAGAACTGGCACCCACAAGAGTCAGCCAAAAGGACAGCTGAGGTTGACATTGGCATGAGCAGATGTCTGAGCTATAGACTGTCAGGTCTGGGGACAGTGGATGACTTTGGGACCCCTCGGTCCAGTCCTTCAAAGGCGGCTGGATTCACAGGGGGCTGAAGCGCAGGGGAGTCTCACTGCAGAGTAAATAGATCTGAGACCAGGGTCTGCTCTGCCAGATACTGGCTGTGCAACCTGAATGTCGCTAAGCTGCAGCTCCCTCATCTGCAAAATGGGGGTAATAACAGCACCTGCCTCATGGGGCTACTGTATGGAGCCCCACTCAGCGCCTGGCATGCAGTAGGCACCAAGAAGCATGAGTTTTTTGTTTTTTTGTTTTTTGTTTTTTTGAGATGGAATTTTGCTCTTGTCACCTAGGCTGGAGTACAATGGCGCGATCTTGGCTCACCATAACCTCCGCCTCCTGGGTTCAAACAATTCTCCTGCCTCAGCCTCCCAAGAAGCTGGGATTACAGGCACCTAACACCCTGCCGGCTAATTTTTTTTGTACTTTTACTAGAGACAGGGTTTCACCATGTTGGCCAGGCTGGTCTCGAACTCCTGACCTCAGGTGATCCGCCCACCTCAGCCTCCCAAAGTGCTGGAATTACAGGCATGAGACACTGCACCCAGCCCATGAGTCCTTTTCCTTGCCGCCTCCTTCCCCACTCTTCTTCAACCCTAGCCATATGGAGCCTGGAGAAGGGGAAGTGAGATGCTGCCCTGCCCCACAGCGGAAGGGAGGGGAGAAGTTACAGCTCCGTTTCCTGGGACCCACTCTGTGGGCACTGGATGCATAGGCGTGTGGGAAACCCCGTGCCTCAGTTTCTCTGGGGCTGAATGGCAGTGACTGGGTTGGGGCAGGGACTTCCTGTTGGTTCAAAACCAACACAGGACGTATCTAGGAGTTGATCCAGTCTCTTGGCAGCTCAGATACATAAATTCTGTGACCCCGGCGACTTAAGGAAAAGTATTTTCCACCTTTCTGGGCTGCCATATCCCCTTAGTTACCTGAAGCCCTTGGGCTAAGGAGTGGTGGGGCCAGCACTTTGGAGGGAGCTTTGGCTCTCCCAGGGGCAGGACAGGTACCCCTGGAACAGAGGGCGCACCCTCATATCTTGACCCTCCTTTGACCTCCAACTCATTGCAGGGACTTCCTGCCTCGAGGATCTGGCATTGTCACCCGACGTCCCCTGGTCTTGCAGCTGGTCAATGCAACCACAGGTACGTGCCCTCCTTCACCAGCAGCCAGGCCTGCCCACTCCAGCCTCTCCTCCGTCCCCAAGCTGAGGGCCAGCCTGGCCACGAAACTTGGTTGCTGTGTGACTGTGAGCCTCGTCCCCCTTAGGGATAGCAGGGATCAAAATACGTAATGGAGACGTGGGTGGTGGTTCTGCTTAGGTGTGTCTAGGGAGTCCTATTACCGGTGGGAGATGAAAACCCCCAGGTGGGGTTCCAGAACTTGATGCCTACTGCCCTTCCCCTGCCCGCTTCTGGGGCAGAATATGCCGAGTTCCTGCACTGCAAGGGAAAGAAATTCACCGACTTCGAGGAGGTGCGCCTTGAGATCGAGGCCGAGACCGACCGGGTCACCGGCACCAACAAGGGCATCTCGCCGGTGCCTATCAACCTCCGCGTCTACTCGCCGCATGGTGAGGACCCTGGCCCCGCCCCAACCTCTAAGAATCATTTTCTTGGCCACGCCCCTCTGCGTGCTTCTCTCCTCCTGCAGACTCCGCCCCTAGAGCGACCCTGCCTCCGCATCATCCTATTCCAAGCTCCACCCAGCCGTGGATTCCGCTCACTTCCGGCCACGCCTCCAACATGCAGCCACTTTCGCCCTGAGATTTCCTAGTCCCGCCCACCTGCCACCCTGCTCCCAAGCAGCTCCTCTAAGCCCCGCCCTATTCCTTAACCTCGCCCGCGGCCACGCCCCTCGCCTTGAGCCCACCCTCTCGCCGCTCTGTCCAGTGCTGAACCTGACCCTGGTGGACCTGCCCGGAATGACCAAGGTCCCGGTGGGGGACCAACCTCCCGACATCGAGTTCCAGATCCGGGACATGCTTATGCAGTTTGTTACCAAGGAGAACTGCCTCATCCTGGCCGTGTCCCCTGCCAACTCTGACCTGGCCAATTCTGACGCCCTCAAGGTCGCCAAGGAGGTGGACCCCCAGGGTAGGTTCCCACCCGGTGGCCAATGCACAAAGTCCCAGGCTTGCGGGCTGTCTATTCTTAGTGTCAAGGGGAGCCTCTGAACGGTCTAAGAATAGTGGTAGGATCAGATATGTACCTTTAAAAATAATTTTGAGGTCAGGCATGGTGGCCCATGCCTGTAATCCCAGCACTTTGGGAGGCCAAGGCGGGAGGATCGCTTGAGCCCAGGAGATCGAGACAAGGCTGAGCAACATAGTGAGACCCCATTTCTACAAAAAAATTAAAAATTAGCCGGGCACCGTGGTGCACGATTGTGGTCCCAACTACTCATGAGGCTGAGGCTGGAGAATCACTTGAGCCTAGGAGGTTGAGGCTACAATGAGCCCTAATCGCACCACTGCAGTCCAGCATGGGCAAGAGTGAGACCCTGTCTCCAAAAAGAAAAAAAGGCCAGGTGCAGTGGCTCACGCCTGTAAATCCCAGCACTTTGGGAGGCCAACCTTGGGAGGATCGCTTGAAGCCAGGAGTTGGAAACCAGCCTGGCAACAAAGTGAAATCCCATCTCTAACAAATAAAAAAAAACAAGAAGAATAAATAAAAATCATTTTGGCTACTCTGTGGAAAATGAATAAGGGGGAAAGAGAGGAGGCAGTGAGCGGGCAGGGGGCTGTGGAGGCAGGGGGGCGGGAGTGGGAACGCATGGAATCATGTGTGAGAGTGGGTGCAGCTGTAGACAGCCCTCCCGCTGGTGCACCCAGGCCAGCGCACCATCGGGGTCATCACCAAGCTGGACCTGATGGACGAGGGCACAGATGCCCGTGACGTGCTGGAGAACAAGCTGCTCCCCCTGCGCAGAGGTAAGCAGGCCATGCCTCTCAACCACTCCCCAGCCCTTCCCCACCCCTCTCTTCCCCTTGAGGCTGGTTGCCCTGACCTTGATACTGTTCACAGGCTACATTGGGGTGGTGAACCGGAGCCAGAAGGACATTGATGGCAAGAAGGACATTACCGCCGCCTTGGCTGCTGAACGAAAGTTCTTCCTCTCCCATCCATCTTATCGCCACTTGGCTGACCGTATGGGCACGCCCTACCTGCAGAAGGTCCTCAATCAGGTAGGCGACCAAGCCAGGATGGGCCTGGGGAAACAAGCATGAAAACAGGATAATTTAAGTGTGTTCTGAGAGTGACCAGCAGAGGTTAGCCTCAGATAGACAAACTGAGGCTCAGAAAATCAAAGCAACTTTCCCACAGCCCTACAGCCAGGTAGCAGCAAAGCTTCGCTGACATTTCCCCATCTGGGACCTGGAAGTCCCCAACATGGAGAAGGCCAAGACCTATGTGGAGGGTGTCATGGGGAAGAGCTTGGGTTTGGGAGCCAGGATTCAAGTATACTTGGCTGAAGACCTTGACAGGGAATCCCAGGGACTTTCTCAGGACTTTTCTCCATCTGGAATGGGGCGTCCAGAACTGAAGCATGTGTGTGTGTGTGTGTCTGTCTGTCTGTCTGACTGTCTGTCTGTGTAGGCAAGACCTGGGTTCCAATCCCAGCTTTGTCACTCCCTCTCTGAGACACTCTCTCTGGCTCTCTGAGCCTCTATTTCTTTTTTCTTTATTTTCTTTTTTTCTTTCTTTATTTATTTTGAGATGGAGTTTTGCTCTTGTTGCCCAGGCTGGAGTGCAATGGTGCGATCTCGGCTCACTGCAACCTCCGCCTCCTGGATTCAAGCCATTCTCCTGCCTCGGCCTCCCAAGTAGCTGGGATTACAGGCACACACCACCACACCCGGCTAATTTTTGTATTTTTAGTAGAGACAGGGTTTCACCATGTTAGCCAGGCTGGTCTCA